AAAGTTCGCATCAAGGTATAACAGTTTCTCTCAAATCTTAAGGATCTGAATATCATCACTCTTTGAAAGCAGAAGGAGAAATGTTGGTCTGTTCTGCTTGTGGGAACGATTTTAAGCACAAGTCCTCGGGGGAAAGAAAGCACTGAGACACGCACACAGGAGTCAGTGTGTTCTGGTACACTGACAGAGAAACGAGCCCTAACTATATATTCAGTTGAGAAAAAAATTATAATTAATTTCAAGAAAGCGTAAATATTCTGGGAATGGCTGAAGCTTCAACTGATTGATCAAGCTGTAGACTACAAGGTCACTCAAACCATGGAGGAACCATGGAATTGATGAGCCTGTGGAAAAGTATTCAATTACCCATGTAAACTGGAAACTCATTGACCCATTCACACTGGGGAGAGGGATTCACCTGCTCTATGTGTGGAAACGGGTCAACTAAATTATCCATCCTCATTGGCCACCAACATGTTCCCTCTGATAAGTGACCTTTAAAATGTTTATGTTAAAATGTTGAACGACATTTAAAAGAGCTTTAAAAACTGAAATTCTGACAACTAACATGTTCAAGATGGACAGAGGTCATTCATTTGCTGATTGTGGGGAAAGGATTTATTATTTGGTAATCCAATCTGTTGATAGATGAGTGTGTTCACACTGGAGAAAGGCCTGTTCTGTGCATATGATTAGATTCATTTTTTTGGTCAATCCTGCAGAGACAGTGGTGTGTTCACAAGTTACTCCAGGCATTAGATTTTGCTGTTATCACTGTAGTTAGAACATAGAATCCCTACAGTGTGGAAACAGGCCAACAAGTCCACACCACCCCTCTGAAGAGCATCCCACCCAGACCCTTTCCCCTATCCTTTCCCTGTAATCCACCTAATTTACACATCCCTGGACACTATAGGTAATTTAGCATGACCAATCAGCTAAACTGCACATCTTTGGACTGTGGGAGAAAACCAGAGCACCCAGCAGAAACCCATACAACACGAGGAGAATGTGCACAAGTGGAATCAAACCTGGGTCCCTGGCGCTGTGAGGCAGTAGTGCCTAATCCCTGAGCCACCATTGCTGATCATACCTAAGACTGGACCAAGTCTAGTCTGACAGTTGGGCTTTCATTTCGTTGTTATTAATAACCTCTACAATCTGTGCTATAGTTTTATATTGTTCAGTAATGCAAAATAAAATAGCATGTTCTTGTAAACATTGTGGCATGTGGATCGACGACTTGTACATAAAGTGAGTGGAATTGATCTTTGAATTCTTCGAGGGTCAGTCTTTTAGGGTAACTGAAGGCAATGATACATTGCAAGGAGTCAGATAAGTAGGGGATTGGCTACAGAAATTTCAGGATATATTTGCTCAAGGTACTGAGGGAAAGAGAGGATATTAAGTAATTGCATTTATTAAATATAGTGAAAGGAAGATAAGTGGCACAGCCACAATTTCAGTGCAAATGGTACAGCACAGATAGCAATAAGAGGCAAGAAAGGATTAATAACAAAATAGGTGTTGGTCACAGACTAACTAATAATGGAATGGAGGAGGAGAAAAAGTCATGCACGAAAATTAGGTAAGTAAATAAGAAAATAGTAATGGGGTAGGGAGGTGTAATTCAGCTACCAATATTAATTGGACTACAGAGGCAGGAAAGGTGATAAGAAAAGAGAGTTCCTGTAATAGGTACAAGACTTTTTCCTAACCCAGAATGTAAGTAGCCCAACAAGGGAAGATTCACAACAAACAAAAACAGAAATTACTGGAGAAATTCAGCATATCTGGCAACATCTGTAGAGAGAAAACGAATTTGTGTTTTGAAGAATAGTCACTGGACTTGAAATGTTAACTGTTTTCTCTCCACAATTGCTGTGAGTCCTGCTGAGTTTCTCCAGCAAAGTCTTTTTTTTAGTTGTTTCAGATTTCCAGCATCCACAGTTCTTTTTTGCCCATTACTGCATCCAATAGTGAATCTGCCCTTCAATAAAACATCGTTGGTAATGTAAATAAAATTTAGGGAACATCTAGGCATTAGTGACAATAACATAAAAATGCATTAAGTTAATACTGAATAGGGGAAAATGACGTTAGAAAGTTAGATTAATAGATTATATAAACATCAATATGCAGGGGCACTATAGATTTTGGGAAAATAATGTGGATGACATTGCCAGACAATGAAGTAGAAGAACTTTGAAATAATTTAAATAATTTGTTCAACGGGGTCAAGGAAAGTTATATTCTGCTATATATAAACAAACTAAACAAAATAGTAATGAACAAGGCACCCCTAATTTTAAAACTGTGCTACTAGTTTTGCAGTACCCATTGAGTAGAAACATCATTTCAGCATCCACCCTATGACATTCCCCCAGGATCTGAAACAAAAATGGAAAAGGCTCGAGAAACCCAGCTGGAGAGAAATCAGAGTGAATGTTTTGAGTCCAGTGACCCTTCTTCAGAATGGGCCCACTTAGTATCTTGTATGTTTCAGTAATGTCATCTCTAATTCTGCTCAATTCCAGCCCTGACTGCTCAGCCTTTCCTTATAAACCAACGTATTCATCTCTGGAATAACCGAATGAAGTTGAACTGAACAGCTTTCAGTGCAGTTGTACCCTTTCCTCCAAAAGAGACCAAAGTGTACATTGCTCATAATGAGGCTGTATTCAAACTAGGACCCTGTGCAAACATCAATATTCCATTTGGTTTCCTAATCACTTGCTGTTTCTACATATCAGTGTATTGTGATTCATGTAGCATTAAACACAGATCTTTCTCTAGCATGGAGTTCTGCACTATAAATACCATTTAAGTAATTTGCGGCTACTTTATTTGTACTACCAAAATGGATACTTTCACATTTTTCCTACATTATAATCCAGCTGTCAACATTTTGCCTAATCAGTAATCTATCCTTTTGATGACTCTTCATATCCTGTTGACAAGTCATTTCCTAATTTTGTGCCATCACAAATTTAGATACTATCTGTTTGATGTCTTCATCCAAATCAGAATTGTTATGAAGGAGATGCATTATCTGAAATATCAATGTAGAGCATCATTGCTGGACCTACATTTACATTTTGCACTGTTGGAACAGGTATTTTGCAAAGGATACCAGCTGCAGAAGGGAAAATTGTTGCGTCCAGAAAGGATACAATCTGTTTGAGGGATGTAACTGATTACTTTTCAGAGAGAGGTCACATGACCCAGTTTGTGAGCACAATAACGCAATGGGATTCGAATACAGGAACCCAGAGAGATAACCCAACAAGAAAACCCGAAAGAACTGCAGAAGCTGTCAATCAGAGAGATAACTTACTTCGAGCAAAAGCCGTTAATGTCTTTTCAATGGAGGGACTCATCAATATTCAACAAATAGAGAATCTGTAATCTATTACTGAAGAAATGAATTTGGTTAGCCATATCATCCAGGAAGACACTCAAAGCCAAAAGCTTGCATGCAAAATGACTTCACCTGCAGGCTAGCATTTAGGACAATCATTCTTTTTTGAAATTGTGTGTTAATTGGTCAAAGCATGTTCAAGATAACATTCTGTGGAGCTGTTAATGTTTTGTCCCCAGACTGAAAGGTTATTTGTGTGTGTATTTGTTTTCCTTTCAAGCTTTCCAGAAGGTTACGTATTTGCAGTGTAAACTTTTTGTTAATATTTACATCACTGCTTGAGTAAGTTTTTTTGGCAATAAATCAGTTCTTTTTTTTTTTACATAGGAACCTGGTTGTCTCAATTCTGATACTGAGTTATTCAAACATTGTTGTGATCAATGGAGGAGTGAAAAAAAGATGGTAATCAGTTCACAACATTTCATTCAGTCATAGATTGTATGTAGAGAGATAGTAGGAACTGCAGATGCTGGAGAATCTGAGATAACAAGGTGTAGAGCTGGATGAACACAGCAGGCCAAGCAGCATCAGAGGAGCAGGAAGGCTGACGTTTCGGGCCTAGACCCTTCTTCAGAAA